TTCATTCTAGGGACAAATCCTAGGGTTGTAAATGGACATGTAAAACCGTTTCTGGAGATTTTTTGCCCGTACCTAAGCCACATACCTTCTATGTAGATATCAGAGAACAATTTAAAATATCGTATCAATGCATTCTATGGCACCTTTAAGTTTCAACACAACTTTATTTTATTTTTTAAATTGAAATGCTCAGGGCAAAAATACCTCTGAAATTTTTTTTTTAAATAAAATGTTTAACTGTTATCATAATATATTCCATTATATATATATATATATATATAGACAATTTGCATTTTTACATTCATATTTTATATTTATGTATTTTATATTATATTTTATATAATACATATCATATTCAGAAATAAAAAATAAATTCCAGGTGTGCATGTTGTGATTCATAATGCACATTTGACTATATGATGCATATTGTGTTTCCCTACCATGAAAAAGTGCTCTTGGCCCTTCTGAGGCCCCAGGGGCCATAGTAAGTGACGCAAGGCCCCCGGTTACACAGTTAACCCCAAATGCAGTCCTGGCATCCACAGCTCCGCAGGGAGATGATTCATCTCCCTCTAAACCCTGGAATGGTGCCATATCTCCGTTTCTCACTGAATTCAGCACAGAGCTGGCAGTCTGCGTTGATCTGTCTTCAAAGCGTCCGTGTCTGTTAGCTGTTTGTCCCACCTCTCCACCTCTCCCGTCTCTGTTCTCTGAGCTCTTGTTTCTTAGCGGTGTTTCACAGCAGTGAGGAAGCTGTTCGTCCTCCTCATCATCCATCGGCGGAGTCAGCAAATCCACCCTGAAATATACCACGGATTGTCACTCTGTGCAACTGAATGAGAATTCACATGCTGTTCATTGATTCTGTATTACATAATATGACATGGAGCCTCAAAAAACAATTTTTTCTAATGCAGTTGTTTTGCTTCAGGACATTAAGTGGCGACCAAACACAATGGAGAAATTGTTAATGTGCTACAAAGTAAACAAAATCAAAGATTTGAATGTATTATTATTTATTTATTTATTGGGTAGCTATTGCCAAATGACAGATAATTTGATTGGATGCACAGTTTTGGACATAAACAACTTAAGACATGGCGTTTTGTCCTTTTTTTTTTTTTTTTTAAAGTTGATAAGCTTATTTATTTTTCTATCCCAAATTATGCACAAGTATAGTATGTTCTCCGCAACTCCCACGTTCACAAAAACAAATAACCATGGCTGATCTAGATGGGTTTTGGTTCTATTTGGTTTATCAATGAATAATTCAGATCTGACAGTAGATCAGCTCATAAAGTGCAACTTCTGGCGTCAAAGTGCAGCAGTGAGATGACTAATCACAAACATTTAAAAGAAGCCTCATTCAAATGAGGGGACATTTCAGGCCTGCACTCAAGGGTTCTGTCTACCGCCGTTTCCCAGAAAACAATACCATTCATATCTGCACCTTCATAACAAACAATGTTCAGTGTTCATGAATAATCTGGTCACCTGAGAGTTACAATGCAGATTAGTAAAGATGCTTTCAAAGAGAATAGTTTCATATAATACATGGCAGCTGCAGTAAAATGAGTCATGAGATTGCATGACGAGTTTTGAGGCATCTGTTTTGCTGAATTTGTTAGCATGAATGCTGTAGTCATCAGAACAAATTATCATTTAAAAAGTGTAATTCTATTAATAGAGAGATTATCATATGGACAGATGATTATTAATGAGAATAACATTCTTAATCCCTGCTGAAAAACCAGCCCAAAATGGTTTGCTGGTCTTAGATGGTCTCCCAGCTTGGTTACCCTGGTCTGTTGGCTGGTTTTATAGGGTTTTTTTTCAAGGGGCAAACAGAAAACCAGCTTGGCCAGGTTGAAAGACTATTGTAGACCATCATAAACCACTCTTATTATTTAACAAACCATTTTAGGCTGTTTTTTTTCTTCTTCTTCTTCAGTAGGGAATTCAAAACAAAACAAAATAAAGCATATTCCACCAAGTAATGCCATAGTAAAAACAAATGCATAAAAAATCAGGACCACATGAGCCTTAATGTGATTGTCACTTTTTGATATTTCAGTTTTATAAACTTCAGTTGGGCAAATCAGAATATCATGTTGGGGATATTTCAGTGTGTTATGCTCTTTATTCTGTAATTTAACATTTTTGTCACTCTCTTTCACAGATCAGATCACTGAAACTTTGTTTTTTAAGGACAAAAACAGAATCATTTCAGTTCTAAAACTGTAGCAAATCACAGAAATCACAAAAAACACACAATGAGACTGCAGCAAATAAAACACAGAAACGAGAGACACTCACCGCCAGTGCTTGAATGTGTGTGTCAGTGCTGTTTTTATTCCGCTTTTTGTATCAGCGCTCTTTTATTCTGTCTTCACTCTGCTTGTATTTACTATCACGAACTCGCTCCGCTTTCATTCTGCGTCCTCCGCTCGAGTTGTTCGTATTGGACACGAGCGCGCAGAAAGCCACGCCCACCGTGACGTCCCATGATATGGTAATTACTCGAGCGGGAGGCGGCGTGCTGTTGGTGCCCGTCGAGGGAAAAGGTCAGTTTAGGGTTTGTTGTGTTGAACAAACCTTGTATTGAGCGCCGTATTTCAGCAGTTTTAGTAGGTTCAGACTGTTGAGATTAACGGCTACGTTATTTAAAGGAAACGCTTTGGCGTTGGATTTGTTGAAAAACTTTAAAAAGTGCTTTAAACTAATCAAAATGAGTGAAAAGCACGCTTCCATTGACAGCCTTAATTAGCTAAAGTAATTATGTATTTCTGACTGAACGTTTTCCAACTATAAAATTGCAAGTTTTTCATTATTATAGATTTCATTATAGATTTTTGGAGGATTTGTAGATCTTTTCAATTATATTAAGTCACAACATGATATGTTCCTGGAACTTGGAAAATGAAAGATGGCAGTTTGCGTAGGCACTTCTGGGAGCATTGTGTAAATACATATATGTAGAGAGAGATAAATATATTCACCTTTTGTTTTTATGGAAGAAAGATAGACACATGGGTTTGGTACAGTGTGCTTAATTTTCACTTTTTTGTGCATATTAATTAAACACCCCTAACCACTAGCCCACCAAGAGTGAGCATTTTCTAAATATTAATAATATTAGTCTTCAAATTTAATTAAATTTTGTAGTCAATGCAAATCTTTAATATTCACAGGAAACCTTGTTTTGTTTTTATGGTTTTGTAATGGACAAATACACTGACATTGACATCTGTCAATCTGACAAGTTTTTCTTTTTCCTTTGGTTAAAGGTGTCATATGATGCGATTTAAATTTTTCCTTTCTCTTTGAAGTGATACAAGCTCTTGGTGCATAAAGAAGATCTGTAAAGTTGCAAAGACTAAAGTTTCAAATCCAAAGATGGACAGAGGAATATATGTGGCTATTATGATCCATTTGTACACATTTCCATTTTTCACATTTTTGTGCATGCATATTTTCTGCTTGAGCCACAATTCAAGTGCACAGTTCAAGTGCACTTGTTGTAAATGGGAAGTGAGTCACCTGAATATCACAATCTTCCTGTTCTCACTGGCTTCTGATGACATCATCCTTTCTGTCAGCCACTGGGCTCAGCATTCCTGTGCACACTGTTACCATGCTTCTCAACCACGAGGTTGCAATGGCCAATTTAAATATGAAAAACTGTGCTAGTTAACTCTAAAACAGAATGTGTTGATTGACATGTAAAGGAAGAATAGTTTTTGTTTTGTAATAGATTGTTTAAAGCCTGCATACTAACTAGTCAGTACAGGCCAACATATTGCTGGCAGGGATTTCAGTTTGCTAAAATGTTGGGATGGTTTCAGATGAGGATGAGGTACAGACAAATCACTGACTAGAGGAAGAGGATTGAAATAGACTCAAAGTGACTCTGTTTCTACGGTAACTGTGGATGGGGAGGTACAAGATGAGAGCAAGGCAAAACAAATGCTGGCGCTGCCTCCGTGGCAACAGCTACATCATTGGTTCTTGTTTCATAGTAAAGACCTGTTAAAAAAAAAAATAAAATCACAAGAGGCCCAGGAGACGCCTCCCTCAAAACTGCATGTTGCATCAGAAAGATCCTACAAGAGGAAGAGCTAAACACACAAACACATCACATGCTCCACTTCACTCTACAGCACCCCCTCCTTCCTCCCCGCTCTCCCGCCAAAACATCTCAGCAAGTAAATCCTGCCTAGAAACCAAACAGCTGACTACGGCCTCACTGCCATTGGTGCAGCTTCCTAGCAACGGAGTGTGTTTATTCAGCCAATCAGGTGTTGGGTTCTCAGCACTTTCAACCAATGGCAGGTGACCCCAGCTTACTTAGGCAGCAGTGACTTGGTAACTGTCCGGCAGAACAGAAAGCAACTGTGATTGGTCAGAGCAGCTCTGCATCCTGATTGGCTGCTCATGACGATCTCCCAGTCATTCATATGTTTTTGTGGCTGCCCTGAAGGAATACACCCACAGCTGAAGGTCAACTTCTCTTCATGCTGATTGGTCGAGCAACAGTGTGGACTCCTAGTAACAAACCACAATTGCTAAAACGGTGTGGTTAGGCTTCTGTCAGTCATCCAAATGCTAGCCAAACAAAACATGATCTTGTTGCTGCCATTCTGCAAGAAGTATTTTGTATGACAAACAGGCCTTCATTAACACACTTTTTGCACTTGCAATATCTGGGAGTAAAATGACTCAAAATGTTGCTGGTGCAGTATCACAGTACGTGATTTCTTGATGCTTGTTCACACACGTATTTGTATTACTGTGACAGTATTTGTTGAGATTCACTGCTAATATCTGTGCAGCTCCTGATCAGAGTCTCTTATAAATTTACATTAAGCTTTTGTTAGTTTAGGTGTTTACATTTACAGGAAAAAACGGTTGAAGTGAAGATGAAAGAACTTATTTTTTCTTAATTTTAGTATTTACAATGTTATGATTGTGGTCTAGCTGGTCCATTTTCCAAACAGTGTTTACTTGTCATTCTGCTGTGTTTAAACTTTAGATGCGTGTTGAGCGGTGCTTGAGTCACCTAGCAAGAAGAATGAGTCCCCAGACGAGCAGCTGCAGCTCAATGAACACAACCGAAGACAAATCAGAAGTGACATCCTGGCTGTAAGATTGCATGACATCATGCTTGAGGGAAGACAGATTAATATGTCAAATCTGAATCCGAAGGACCTGGCAAGTGATCAGTCTCAATGATCTAGATAAATATAATCAGTTTAATAAGTAAAGTCGTATTTTTTTTTTTTAAAGCTAAGTGAATTACTTTTAAATTAGAAGCCTCAGTGGCCTATGTCTAAGGCTTATGTCTATAGATATTTAGTCAAATCTTTGATTTATATGGAAACTGCTGATAGAAAATCTCTGGCCTTTTCACCTCTAACCACAGTATTAGGAAAGCTTACTGTTTAGATGTGTTGGATGCCTGTAAAAGACATCTACACATCCACCACAGACAGTACTTGAAGCTGTTGTTATTGTAAGCTAAAACTATAAAAAATGGTAATCTCAGATTATTCAATTTGATGTTTGATTTCTAGTCATTTGTGCACCTTCAAGATGATTTGAGATAGAGAAAAAGTTTTAGCCTACTGATTCTAAGCACTGTTTTAAGTCAAAGTCAACTTTATTGTCAATTCTGCCACATGTACAGCACATACATACAGAGAATTGAAATAGCGTTACTCTCAGACACTTGGTGCATACAGTTAACACTAACAGTAGACATAATACAGATAAATACAGTTTAAATATATATAAAATACAACCTATACAATATACAAATAAGGACATTGTGTAAAAAAAATAAAAATAAAAGAGAGAGATAGAAAAGGTCCGGAGTGAGTTCAGCTTCCTGACAGCCTGATGGATGAAGCTGTCCTTCAGTCTGCTGGTCCTGGCCTGGAGACTCCG